CCTTCCCGGGGGCGGCAGACACCCATCACATCTGGGACTCCAGCAACTTGGCTCACGCTGGTTGCCCCGCCCTGGTGACTCCCTGAGGCCCTGCCCACCCACCTTTCAGGCCCACCCAAGCTGTTGCCAGTTGCTTCACCATAGGATTGGCCTGGCTTGGATCCTGCTTCAGGTTTTCCTAAATTCTTTCAAACAAGCCGCATCTGGTTTCAGCTAGCTCCATACTTCTCATTAAGTAACACTTAGAAACAAACACAGGGAGGAAGCCAAAATGAGGAGACAAAGAAACAGGTCCCAAATGAAAGAACAGAACAAAACCCCAGGAAAAGAACTAAGCGAAATGGAGATAAGCAACCTAACAGATGCTGAGTTCAAAATACTGCTTATAAGGATGTTCAGTGAACTTAGTGAGAACCTCAGTGAACTGTGAGGGCCTCAAGAGCATAAAAAAGGACCAGTCAGAAATGAAGGATGCAGTCAGAAATGAAGGAGGCATTAACTGATATAAAGAATAATTTACACAGATTCCATAGTAGAGTAGGTAAAGCCAAGAAGCAAACCATTGATTTGGAATATAAGGAAGCAAAAAACACCCAATCAGAACAGCAAAAACAAAAAAGTATCCAAAAAGTGAGGATAGTGTAAGGAGCCTCAGGGACAACTTCAAGCGTGCCAACATTCGCATCTTGGGGGTGCCAGAAGGAGAAGAGAAAGAACAAGAAATCGAAAATCTATTTGAAACAATAGTGGCAGAAAAGTTCCCTAACTTGGTGGGGAAGCACAGAGAGTCCCAAACAAGATGAACCCAAAGAGGCCCACACCAAGACACATCACCATCAAAATGCAAAAGGTTCAAGACAAAGAGAATCTTAAAAGCAGCAAGAGAAAAGCAGTTAGTTACCTACCAGGGTGTTCCCATAAGGCTGTCAGCTGATTTCTCAAAAGAAACTTTGCAGGCCAGAAGGGAGTGGCAAGAAATATTCAGAGTGATGAAAAGCAAGAACCTACAACCAAGATTACTCTATCCTGCAAAGCTGTCATTTAGAATCGATGGCCATATAAAGAGTTTCCCAGACAAGGAAAAGCTAACACCAAACCATTATTAAATAAAATGTTGAAGGGTCTTCTTGAAGAAAAAGATAAAATATATGAACAAACAAAATGGCAATGAATACATAGCTATCAACAATTAAATCTATAAACAAAATGAACAGGCAGAACAGATACATTCTCATAGATACAGAGAACATGTTGTTGGTTGCCAGATGGGAGGGGGGTTGGGAGAATGGGTGAAAAAGGTGAAGGGGTTAAGAAATACAAATTGGTTGCTAGACTGACAAACTTCAAAAAGAAGCGGGGTTGGGGGATGGGAAAAAATAAAACAAAGAACTTATATGCATATATGCATAACCAATGCACACAGACAACAGTGTGGGAAAAGGCAGGAAGGGGGCGGGAGTGGGGAGGTGGGGGTCGATGAAGGAAATATGAGGAACATCTGTAATACATTCAACAATAAAGATATAATTAAAAAAAAAATTTTAAATAAGCATTTTCGAGAGCCTTTACATGCATTTCTCTTTGCTTTCATATACATGTTTTTATTCATCTCTATGACAACCCTCTGAAATAGGTTTAATTACTTCTGATTTGCTTTACAGAAATCAAAATAGAAGTTCAGAGAGGTTGAATGGCTTACAGAAGGTCACAAAGCAAGTAAAATGCAGAGCCGTCATTCAAATCAATTTTCTTGAACTTTAGGACTTTAGTCTTTGTAAGTAATATATGTAATTTATATGTGAACTGTAGAAAAATTTTAAATTACAAGAACAACAAGATAATATGGAGAAGAAAGAAAAAAATTAATTTTTAGCAATGTCACCTTCCAGAGAAACCATTTCTATAATTTTGGCAAATGATCTTTTCTCTATATCTACATACAGACATGAAAATATAAACATTTTTAAACAATAAAGGTATTGCACAGTATATTCTATTTCCAGTCAATAAATAAGCTCCAATCCAGTGATTGACAAAGGGGCAGGCGAGGGAACGTGGCTACTTCTCTGAAGACACACCAGCACCTCACAGGAGTCACAGAGCTTGAGGAACCTCCTGTGGGCTCGGGAACAGACAGGACACCACATTCAGTTTGAGAAATCTTAATGGTCAAATTGACCAGCAGAAAGTTATAGGTAATGAACACTCCCAACAGTAGTTCGAAAGAGTCCCCATTTCCCAACACTACCACTTTCTTCATGTCTAGTTTTTGCTTTTTTTATATAGTTAATCCTTACCCGAGGATATTTTTCTTTCTTTTTTATTTTTATTTTATTTATTTATTTATTTATTTTTTTGGTACGTGCCCCTAGCAGGAACCGAAGCCAGAACTCTCTGGTCCACAGGCCAATGCTCCAACCTCTGAGCCAAACAAGCCAGGGCCCAAGGATATTTTTCCATTTTTTCTTTAGAGTGGAAGGGAGGGAGGGAGAGAGAGAAACATTGATGTAGAGACATCGATTAGCTGCTTCCTGCATGACCCCAACCAGGGTTGGGGCCAGGGATCAAACCTGAAACCTAGGTATGTGCCCTTGATCAGGAATCGAACCCACAACCTTCAGTCCACAGGCCAACGCTCTAAATGCTGAGCCAAACCGGCCAGGGCTTCATCTGCTAGTCTTAAATGACCACAGATCAGGTTGTGAACCCAAGCACTCTGGCTCCAGGCTCTAATTCTTGACCAGTACACTAGTACATGACATACAATAGTATCCACTTACATGTGCATTTCTCTCATGACTAATAAGGTCGAACTACTTTTCATACGTTAGCTATTTCTTCTGTCAGTAGAATTTCTCATTTATCTTTTTTCATACTAATTATAGGAGCTTCTTATAAAGTCAGGCTAATAACTTTTTATTTGTCATATATGATGCCAATACTTTTTCATAGTTTTGCTTCTTCCTTAACTCTGTTTGCATTTCTTTTAGTTTTTATGTGGTCAAATCTCTCACTTCTCCCTAATTTATGGCTCTGCTTTCACAGCCATGCTTAGAGAGCTCTTCTCCTCCCCAAGATTATAAAATTATTGAAGTACATTTTGGGTTTTTTTTTGTTTTTTTAATTTTGCATTATGACACTTAATCCATCTAGAATTTATTTTGGAATAAACACTGAGATAAAAATTTAAAATTTATTTTCCCAAATGCTTTGGCAATGAGCCGAACATCATTTTCTGGCTAATTCTTTTTAATTTTTTTAATTTTATTGATTTTTTAGAGAGAGAAGAAGGGAGAGAGAGAAACATCAATGTGAGAGAGAAACATCAACTGGCTGCCTCCTGCATGCCCCCCCCACTGGGGATGGAGCCCACAGCCCAAAACCCAGGCATGTGCCCTGACCAGAAATCGAACCAGAGACCTCTCAGTCCATGGGACAACATTCAACCACTAAGCCACACCAGCTGGGCTGGCTAATTCATTCTTTCCCCACTTATTTGACAAGTCAAAAATTGACCAAATTATGAAATCTTACATTTTTTTGGTTTGTTCTTGGATTTTCTGGACATCCTCATACATTTGTCAATTCCTACATCAGTACCAATCTGTTATATATCTGTTATATTATAGCTTTATGACTATTTAGCTGCAAGAGGCCATGTACCTCAGCAACACAATACAATAACACAATAGCATTTGTAGAAATAGATGCAGAAATAAAAAGTTTTTTTCAAATAACAGCAATCAATCTTATGTATAATAATATGGTCAATTTTATGTATTCATAATATAAAAAAGTAATCAAGCAAATAGTATAGACAAACACAGAAAACAAGTATAATATTTCATAACATACTATTTAAAAATTCTATTTAAATTGCAAGATATAGCCTGGCTGATGTGACTCAGTTGGTTGAGCATCATCCTGTCCCCTGTACCAAGAGGTCACCAGTTTGATTCCCGGTCAAGGCACATGCCTGTGTTGTGGGCTTAATCCCTAGTAGGGGGCGTGCAAGAGGCAACCGATCAATGTTTCTCATTGATGTTTCTGTCTCTCTCTCTCTCTTCTTCTCCCTTCCTCTCTCTCTAAAATCAATAAAAACATATTTAAAAAATAAAAATAAGTAAATTGGAAGATATGGCAGAAACTTATTTCAGCCACATGTTTCAGTCAAAAGTGAATTTCTGACAACATTTGTGACTAAAATAACTCAACAGAACATCTGTCAAAAATGCAAGGCTTCCTAACATGGACTCACTTAGCGTGCTCCTGAGGCAGTGCATATAAATAGCTGTAAAGCGCGAGTTGTGCTGTTTCATTAGTTACTGACCACAAAGGTGGGTCAGAGGCATCGTGCCTTCAAAGGCTCAACGCTCTCAGAATCTCCACTCCCCAGGAAAGCTCTAGGTGTACATAGAAGTAGAATTAGAGTGACATCTAATGGTCACAAAATATGAAACAGCATTTCTTTGAACTAGAACTGCATGCCCTTTTCCAGGTCGGAAGGCTAGCTCGGGCCATTTCTCAGCTGCACTCACGAGGCTCCTACTTAAGAGTCCATGACTCGCTCGTCCCTGAGGGCTGGACAACTGTCGGAAACCATGCTGCGCATTCTACAAACAACATCTCGCTTCATTGTTCCTCATTAGTTCTACCAGGGCCACTTCTCTCAAACCATCAGTTCAAATGATGCTGATAAGAGTAAGCAGGTCACTGAGTAATAACATGTCAATCACTTAAAACAGCCCTCATCAGAAGTCTGAGCATGCCTTCCGAAAAGAACTGTTTGCACACAGAACATTGGAGAGCAGATAACCATTGCCCTCAGTCAAATGATCTGAATGCACATCATTCTTGCCCTCCTCCTCTGAATAATTATCAGGCGGTGTCAAGAGAAGAAGGGCAGCATTTGCGTTTCGGTGAGTTATCCGGATGTAAGCAGCCAGGCGTCCGCACGCCGGCCCGGAGCCCCGCTGGCACTGCACAGCATTCGCCCTCACCGATTCCTGCTGCTTTCAGAGTGTGGTCTTCTCTCAACAGGAGCCTGTCGTCATCTTCCAAACTCAACACAAGTTCATTTGTCTGGAAAGAAAGAAAACCTGCATTTTAGCAGCACTTCTGGTTCCAGATGTGGTACGATTTCTCAAAGACAGAATTGTTTCCTCAGGTCACAGCAATCCCGAGTCACATTCTACTCCCACTGCTGTACGGAGAGCAGGGAACAGGCAGTGAGAACCTGCTAAGTGCACACACGGTACAAAGCACCAGGAGACGGTGCTGCAGCAGAGCTCTGGAGCTCCTGGCTGTGTCCAGCTGTGTGCTCTCAACTAACTGCACGGCCTCTCTCAGACTCACTTTCCTCACCTGTCAAAAAGGGGGAAAGAATACAGCTTCTCTATTGCTGTGTGGTGAGGAGGAAATATAAAACACTCAACGCAGTGACAGTTGCACAGCAAGGACTCTGTTAGCTATTAACTCTGTTAACCGTTCTCTTGTTGCTGCTGCTGCCGCCACCACCACCACCATCATCATCACCATCTCATCCTCACAGTACCATCACCACCATCATCATCACCATCTCATCCTCACAGTACAATCACCACCATCATCATCACCATCTCATCCTCACACCACCACCATCATCATCACCATCTCATCCTCACACCACCACCATCATCATCCCCATCTCATCCTCATACTACCCCCATCATCATCACCATCTCATCCTCACAATATTCCAGGACGAATCAGAGAGGTTAAGACACAGGCCTAGAGTACACAGCTGGTCAGCCATGGAGCTGAGGTCTGAGCTCCAACCAGATTGACTTCTGAGGGAAACAAGCGTACCTCGATGGCCAGAAGCCCACATATCTGAAACCTTGCCCTAGCTAATAAACACTTGATCCATGTTATGTTAACTGTCACATTTCTCTATGTGATTTGGGGTGGATGAGTCTGCTCTTCAATCATATTTACAAATCCAGTTAAAATTATAAATATTGGAGAACATCTGAAGTTGATAACTGCCCCTAAAGAGCACATAGAGGTGACCACTAGCTGGGCACTCAGTACCATTTGTCAACCAGAGTGCAGCTGTTTGCAATGTTTTCTAATTTTAGAATGTGGCTGAGAGGGAGTGTCAACAGAAAGGCCTCTCGGCAGCCAAAAGAGAAGGCCTAGCAGCCATGCTCCATGGGTCATGACCTCACTTACTAGGGAGCACAGGGACCTGACCTCCAGAGCACAGAGATGAAAAAAAAAAAAAACTTCATTAAAAAATCATTCTAGAATAGGTTATGCTCATGATACAAAAGTCGTTAGGCACATAGGAATAGAGAGTGAAGTCAGTCTCCTCTAACCCCTGTCCGCCAGCTATGCAGCCCTCCACAGAGCCAGGACTGATGCCTATCCGAGCTCCCAGAGACTGCCCCTGGACGGGCACACACAGGCAGACACGTGCATGTGAACTTTTTACACAAGGGCTAGCATATTATATGCTGTGTTCTCACCTGACTTTTTGTCTCCTCAAATATAGCTTAAAACCTTTCAAAATCGTGCCCCGCTGGTGTGGCTCAGTGGTTGACCATCGACCCACACACCAGGAGGTCGCTGGTTCAATTCCTGGTCCAGGCACATGCCCGGGCTGTGGGCCTGATCCCCAGTGGGAGCATGCAGGAGGTGGCCAGTCGATGTTCTCTCTCATCATTGATATCTCTCCCTCTCTCTCTCTAAAAATCAATAAAGAAAAAAAAATTTTTTAAACCTTTCAAACTCGGCATAAGAGCTGCCTCGTAATTTATCAAGGCTGCAGCAAATTCCATTGAAGGGACTTACACACACACACACACACACACACACAGTCCCTATTGATGGCATTTAGGTCATTTCCAGTTTCTTGTTACCATAAACAAATCTGCAACAAATACCATTGTACATGTACCATTTTGCATATGTACCCGTTTTAGCTGAAAGATAAATTTCTAGAAGCAGAATTACTGGGTCAGAGGGTAAGTGCAATTTTTATTTTGAAAAATTTTATTTTGAAAATTTTTAATTTGGAAGTTCCTCTCAAGAGAAGTGGTATAATTTCCATTAACACTACCAATCACTGAGAATACCTGTTTCCCACAGCCTTCTAACGTGTTATATTATCAAAAATGTCTGATCTTTGCCAACTTAACAGATATAGGTTAAGAGTAGTCTTAATTTGTATTTATTTTATTATGGGTAAAGTTGTGAATATTTTCTGCTTTTTAATGAACTTGTAGGATAAATTTTTAAAAAAATAGAATTGTTGCCCTGGCCAGTTTGGCTCAGCGGTTAGAGCGTCGGCCTGCGGTCCGGAGAGACCCGGGTTCGGTTCCCGCTAAGGGCATGTACTTCAGTTGCAGTTTGTCCCCGGCCCTGGTTGGTCGTGCGGGTGGCAGCCACTCGATGTGTCCCTTCACGTCGATGTTTCTCTCTCTCTCTCTCCCTCCCACTCTATCTGTACAAAAAATGGAAAAATATCCTCGGGTGAGGATTAAAAACAAAAACAAACAAAAAAATAGAATTGTAGAATATCATTATATACTAAGAAAATTGGGCCTTTTCTGTAAGTTAGAAAATTTTCCCTCAGTTTTCATTTGTTCTCTGATTTTTCTCAGAGCATTTTTAAATAGAAGTGCTGAATGTTTCTTTAATAAATAATTAATGAAATAAAATGTATCAGTCTTTTATGATATCATACTTAGAAAGACCTTCACTCAAAGATTACTTAAAATTCCATGTTTTCTTCAGGTATTTTTATTAACTTCATTCTTTAAACTTTTAATTATGAAGAATTTCAAATTTACAATGCAGAGAACAATACGATGAACCCTCCATGTACCCCCACCCAGCTTGAATAAATTATCCACCAATGTTCAGTCTGTTTCATCTCTACCCCCATGGATGGGTTTCATTTTCACATCTAAGTCATTAATCCAATGGGTATTGATTTTGGCATTAAAAAAAGGCTATGGATTCAACTTAACCATTTTCTAGATGTCTACACAGTTGTCCCAATAACACTTATTAAATCCTCCACAGATTTGAAATGCCGTATTTACTATAAACTAAATTCCCATATATATTTGGGTCTATTTTTGGACTTTTAATTCTATGCTACTGAACTAACAGTTCACGTGGCAGTACTATGCTGTTTTAATTACTATAGTGTTCTGGGTTTTTTTTTTATCTTCACCCAAGGAGATCTTTCTGCATTTATCTTCGGAGAGAGGGAGGGAGGAAAAGAGAGAGAGAGAAATATCGATGTGAGAGAGACACACTGACTGGTTGCCACCCACACGACCCCAACTAGATCCAGGGACGAACCACAACTGAGGTATGTGCCCTTAGCGGGAACTGAACCCGGGTCTCTCTAACCGCTGAGCCAAACCGGCCAGGGCTAATTACTACAGTTTTATAACATGTAATTTATGTTAAGGGCAGTCACTCTCAACCCTCTCATTTTCCTGACTACTATTCTTCATTATTTATGCTTTATAGTCAGATACACACACACACACACACACACACACACACACACACACACACTGTGGTTAGTATCCTTGGGGGGTGGCATTCCGTTTGTAAATTAATAAAGACCTGACATCTTCATGCTGCATCTTCCCCTCCAAAATATCCTAAGCATTTCTGTTCAAGTCTGATTTTGGACCCCTCTTCAATTTAAAAAAAAATTAAGCTGAAGTAGAATTTCACATAAATAAAATGCCCGTATCTTCAGAGTAGTTCAGTTTAACGAGTATGGACAACAGAAAATACCTTCACACATTTCTCATAAAGTTTATTCCAGGGTGTGACTTCTTCCTTTCATAAACTTTTAGCAAGTGTAGCTATCTGGTTTGCAAACACAGAAAATATAAGACAGAAATTAGAGTTTTTATTTCAAATCTTTTTAGTAGAAATTACTCTGACTTTATAAATAGCCTACAGATTACAATCCATTATACACCCTCAAATACATTTTCTTGGTAACCATAAATCATATTATAATTATTTGCACTGTACTGATTCATTCATTCAACAAACACTGAGGTCATGGTCCAAATAGGAGGTTCTGGTGGGATAGTATCCAGACAGCCCTTTTATTGTGACAGGAAGAAATTTCTGTAGACACGTGGTAACTGTAATTAAGAAAGTTACTCTAAACCTAGGGTTGGGGAAATCCCTTTTGCGAACAAGTTCATTAAGATGCAGGAGTTACCTGGCAGTCCCGCCTTGGCTGAGAAAGGACATGGAACTGGGGCTGGGCTGGAAAAGGAACAGCCGGGCCGGCTGCTCACAGCCTCGCAGGTGCACAAACGGTGGCTGATGAGGGAACAGCGGGAGCTGGACAGGGCGCAGGTGAGCACGTGTGGGAGAAGTTACTCTGAAGTTTTAAAACTGTCTCTGTAAAAATGAATTAACCCCTCTCTTTATGGAAGTTGAAGAGGAAACTTGAAGAACCATCCCCAGACCTGTACTTAACTAGACTTGTTATGGTTTAGGTGAAAGTTTATAAAGTCAGATTCTAGACACATTCTAAGTGATTTCATTTGTTTTGAGAATCCCTCTTTAAATAAATACACTGTACAACTCTAACATGCCAGGATGGAACATGTGTTTTAAATTTAAGAAACAATTCTAACATATTTCCAACTACATGAAGAAAATCTCCTGATTTTTTAAAAAATGTCATAATATTGATTATTTAAATAGTATGAAGTAGGTCTTCATTAGGATAAAGGAATAATTTACTAATTATTCTTTTTAAGAAACATGAGCATGTGAACAAGCCCAGCACAGTAAAAATGGAGAATGGCATGGCACACTCACAGACTTTTCCAGGAGCATACTGTTTAACTTTATTTTATATTTACATATATATAGTCCCCTCTACCAAGCTTCCTAGTCTTCACATTTCAGGGACAAGGTTGCATACACTCCTAGTCCAGAGAAGAGAAAATGGATAGAGTCTGTGGCCAGATACAGTGGAAAGTTCTAGCATCCATACTAATTGCAGATTCCAAACCACAGCCCCAGACACACATGAGCACTAAAAAATTTTTTTTATCCTCACCTGAGGACATTTTTTCATTTGTCTTCAGATAGAGCAGGAGGGAGAGTGGGAGGAAGAGAGAGAGAGAAACATCGATGTGAGAGAGACACACCGAGTGGTTGCCACCCATATGACCCCAACCAGGGCTGGGGACAAACTGCAACCGAGGTACATGCCCTTAGTGGGAACTGAACCCAGGCCTCTCTGGTCCACGGGCCGACACTCTAACCGCTGAGCCAAACCGGCCAGGGCCATGAGCACTAAATTTTAAAGCACCTGACAATGGATACTGTTAAATTTCTATATGCAATCCTTGCTGTATACATAAAAAACAACGTTACTGGAAAGAACCAACCCTGCCAACACCTTGATTTTAGCCCGGTGAAACTGATTTTAGACTTCTGGCCCCCAGAACTCTAAGAGAATAAATGTGTTGTGTTCAACTACAGGAAAAGAAAACATTTCTAGTTCATTGTCAACATACATACCCTCCTGCTATTTTCTTTCTAATCTGTGGTATACATTTATTTGAAAGCTGACAGAGATTATGGAGGGCATCTATGACCAAAAAAGGAAATCAAATTCAGTGAATTCATAAATAAATACTTCATTCAAAAACTGCAGTGGAAACATTCCTATGCACGAGACACTGCTAGGTACTGGAGCTATGAAGAATAAGACACCCACCCTGGTCCTTGAGTCAACAGAACAAGATTAACAGAGTAAGATTTCTGCTATAATTAGGAGTCAATACAAGGGTCACTGAGATTCAAGAAAAAGGATCACGCTAGTCTGTATGTATACATGCAAGCCTTTGATTGTAACTTATAAAAAAAATGACTCTAAAAAAGTAATGAAACATAAATGTAAACACACAAATACATAAATAAACAGTTCTCTTTGGGGCAGGTTAAGACGACGTCAGGATTGCAGGTCTGCTCCCCAGAGCCACAGTCCTGGGCCTTCACTTACACAGCGAGAGTCAAGTCAGAAAAAACAGATTATTTTTTTCTGCTTTTGGCTCCTTTCTTCTCTCATAGGATTGAGAAAATGAAAGAGACTGTTTTGCCAGATAATAAGTGACTTCCTTTATATGTAACCTGAATTTACAAAGTTTTATGCTAATTTTATGTTAAATATTTGCTTGATATATAACATGTATCCTTTATTTATAAATTAACACATTGTATTTATTTTTTTAATATGTTCTTATTGATTTGAGAGAGAGAGAGGAAGGGAGAGGGGGGAGAAACATGGATGAGGGGGAACCATCTATGGGCTGCCTCCTGCACAGCCCCTATTGGGATCAAGCCTGCAGCCCGGGCATGTGCCCTGACCAGGAAATGAACCGGCGACCTCTTGCTGCACAGGATGATGCTCAACCAACTAAGCCACACTGACTAGGGCAAAAATTAACACATTTTATTTATTTATTTATTTATTTATTTATTTATTTATTTATTTTTATCCTCACCCGAGGACACTTTTCCATTTTTTGCTCAGATAGAGTGGGAGGGAAAGAGAGGAAGAGAGAAAGAGAAACATCAACGTGAAAGAGACACATCGAGTGGCTGCCACCTGCAAGACCAACCAGGGCCATGGACAAACCACAACCGAGGCATGTGCCCTTAGTGGGAACTGAACCCGGGTCTCTCTGGACCACAGGCTGACACTCTAACCGCTGAGCCAAACCGGCCAGGGCAACACATTTTAAAGGATCTACTATGAAAAGGGATATAGCTTAGAATTTTTTCTTTAATAGAAAAGGTACTTACAAAATAAAATATGCTCTTATGATGAAAATAGTTTAGAAGTACATATATGTCTTCATTCATTTATTCATTAAATTAACCAACACTGATTACCTGCTATGTACCAGGTATTGTACATATGAAACATACCTTTGATTTATGTGCTTGATGAATAATCTTTAATTTATCTGAAAGAAAAAAGCAAGTTATCTTTTTACAAAGATTATTCTAAAACGTCATTTCAAATTATTAAAGAGAGAGATAAGGGGAAGGTTGCTATGAAATTAAGAAATTTAAGTCCTTACCTTATGACCAGGTTCTCTTAAAAGTCTACTATACAGTAAAAGAAAAGTTACTTTTGCGTATCATTAAAGTCAAAGCTCACTGTATAAAGACATTGTAAAGCCATGGTCTCTGACACACAGTGGAGTGTGTGCCACAACCTGAAGTCAACTCAGCACATTTCCCTTGTAACAGAAGACAAATGAATTACATTACTCTATCCTGGTTTTTGGAGTCGCTAGCTAAATGCTGAGATTAGCAGACAATGTAAAAAAAATTGTCTTAAATTAAGACAGACATTAACAAAAGCAGTTCCAAAATATCTATTAATCTCTAGAATAGATCCAGTGACAGGAGGTCAAGTGATCACAGTGAGAAGTCATTACCACTCCAAGAACTCAAACACTACCAAAGATCACTGGTAATCTGAACAACAGCCTATGCACAAAGAACACCAATATCTGCCTCTGGCTTTTAAGTATTTCGCAGGCTTCCACCATCTAACCTGCTTTAGTCAATCCCTCCTTCACCCTTAATCTGTTTATCTTAAAGTCAGGCTACATTGTGCCTTTCCAGTGAGTAATTTCTCTACATTGGGTAAAATTCTAACTCCACCAACAATCAGCTCTTAATTATATAATAGACATAGCAATCCACAGGTTTAAATTAATAAATTTTCCAATTCTTCATTCAGTTTTAACCATTTAATTAATGTATTATGTGATTACATGTATGTGTTGTTAAACCTGACAGACTCTTAACCTTAAACTAAAATTTGTTTCATCGTGCTATTTGATTCAATGAGGAATTCCAACAGTGAAATGAAATGAAAAGATCTATTTAAAAAACAGACCTGATTTAACTATGTTCTAATAATATAGAAGAATAGGAGTACCTATCCAGTTAAGAACTAACACTCTCAATTACCCATTATTTTAAATAGTAAAATTTCAATTATCTATTGAAATTCTCAATGCAAGGTCAGCCTAATCCTATGAATTGTTAAGAAATAAAAAGAAATCTAATCCAAGTAAAATATGAACACTAGAAATATAAATATGCCACAACTGCTAAAAATTAGCTTATAATGTACACAAGAAAATAAACAAATATAGCTTTTGGATTATCTATCATTGAGTTACCTATTACACTCTTTTTCTCAATATAGATAGGTATCAGTTTATTACCGGAGACAAGTTAGAGAACCCAGTAAGGGTTTGTTGCTGTTGTTTAATAAAAGTACCCTGTTTAACATCTGTTACAATCAACCTGCAAAATGGCAGCTGGACCCTACCAAATACTCATTATGTTCTATACATTATATTGCTAATAAGCCTTAAAATTAGAACTATCTTTGCTCTAATAAGTTCTGCAACCCACAAGAAGAAGGCCACATTTTTTAGTAGAAAATAAATGGTTTGAACAGACATTTTCACCAGATTTTTCCTCCAACAGAAATTGGTAAGACTTAGAAAGAAAGGAAGAAAGGAGAAATGACAAGCTAACAAAAGGTGTTATGTTAATGTCCCTTTCTTTGTTAAATCATCTCTTTCACTTGTTTCTACTTCTTTTAAGAAACCTTCATTACTAACAGAAACAATATCTGTGGGTATTATTTCCTTAATGCAAATTCCTTGAGCAAAGTAACCTCATAATAATAAAAATAATATTTTATATTTGAGGAGTATTTAACATGTTTGATGTGCATTGTTTAATCTCACACAGCCTTATAAAACAAATAGGATCAGCAGCCTCACACTGAACAACTGACATGCCCAGGCAATAAGGATTTAAAAATAAGACAACATCCCCTGTGCTGTAGGAATACAGGTTAAGGTAAGTCAATAAATACATGCCAATTAAATAGGAGGGATACATTTATAAATGAATGACGGGCTCTGAGAAATCTCAGATTCTCAGTAGCCTGGCCTAGGGCATGGAGACAGCAAGTAACAAAACTGAAATGTGCCCCTGTGCCCTTCACTCCCCAACACCCAGGGTTCTGTTCCCACAGGGCAGGTAGCAGTACTGGAGGACACGTGAGAACATAACACTTCAGCCTTTCTCAATGAAAAGCCAAACTCAGAATCACTTAAAGTCTATCTAAACCCTAATACTTCTCTAATTTCTTCACAGGCAAGTGTCTTCATTTTTCTGCCAATTCCTCTGAATAGTATAGGAATTCCAGGACGGAAGGATGTTAATAAGGTAAAATAATGTAAAAGGCATATGACCCACCATGATGACTGGCAGTCAGATATTCTGATGCTTTCATTATCTAAAACTTACCTTTCAAAATAACTTACTCACGAGTTTGAAAACACATATGGACCATGTGAAAAAGGGAAGCCATATATAGTTATTCTAATAAAACAGCATCTGTAGATTGATTCAACTTCAGGTTATATTTCAAGGCGGTATGCTTTGAAAGCCATGAAGGCTAGCAATGAGAAGTTTCATATTTACTTAACCATGCTTTCTATTCCGTTCTCTTATTTAATATTTAGTATGTAAATTCTTTAAGTCTAATAAATCAAAGTACTTTCCACTCAGTGCCTTCATATTCTGCCTGACTACCCCTTATGACCTCACAATTAGTCTCTGGATATTAAAATGCACACACGGGAAAGAATGTGATTTCAAAGAATCTTAGGTCATAAGTTGCTCTACCAAATGGGAATAGAATTAAAAGCTACTCCAAAAAATGATCTAAGGTAATAAAATATTTATACTTTAAAATGCCTGTACCAATTAACAGAAATATTTATTGAGTGCATCATAATTCTCAGGAGAAGTCTCAGTTTAGTGAGTATTGCTATGCTGAAGATTAATAACTAAGTGTGCCATCTTTATAACAAACAGTGAAACCCAGCTTACTGCCTATTTTAAAATCAACAATTGCAACATAAAAGTTACTATATAACATGCTCAAGGTACTGGTATTTAAAATACTAAATCTCTTCTTTTAATTCCTAGTCTTTAATCATTTCTCCTTTTCTCATTACCAGGCAAAGAAATTCACCTTGGACATAGTTTGCCAAACACGCCACTCCTCACAAACACGCCACTCCTCACAAATAGCTACTTCTCTGCAGGATCACATACTTCAACATATCACAGAATTCCCGTATTTCTAAGTAATCTTCCATATTGGTTTTTACTTACAGATAGTAAACTTGCTTTTGAAAACCAAATTTAAATTCATATAAATGTAAAACTAATGTGACATTGCATTAATACATGTTTTAAAAGAGTAAGAAAAATTGGTTACCATATTTATAATTTCTGAATGGTGGTGGCAGGCTGGTCCTTAAAGGAATATCTATAAGAAAAAGATTATTTTTATTATAAAATATTCAAATAGACACTCATAGTATATCTGTTCTCCTAGACCTGCAGTCTAAGCTACTTAGAAAAAAACTGATAGGACACCAAGCGAAGCTGACATGCCAGCAAAGTCCAAGGTCACCTGAAACATGGGCCACTGATAAGGTGCTGGGCTGCTACTGGCTGAACCAAGAATTCAGAATGGGCATTTTACTAAACACAATCTCATCTACATACATTTGAAATATACAGTACACATGTGTGAGACATTAGTTTCTATATACAGTGATACCTCGGTTCTCGAATGCCTCGGCTTTCGACCAAATCGGTATTCGACCAGGAGATTCGAGAAATTTTTGTCTCGGAATCCGAACAAATATTTGGAACTCGAACTTCCGAGATGAGCCGAGTTGAGCCGAATGGCGTTCATTCGGCCCAGCACGCCTTGCTTGCGTCATCAGTGTGAGTGCAGAGAGAGTCACGCTTTGTGGAGTCACGCTTTCCTATTGGTTTCATTGCTTCGGTTCTCAAACAATTCGGTTCTCGACCGTCCTCCTGGAACGAATTATGTTCGAGAACCGAGGTATCACTGTAGTTGTTATTCATTTAGCATACAAATCTGGGAAACCCTTGAGAGTCTTTGGGCCGTGGTAGAAGCCAGTGATCTAGAACAATCTTATTACTCTTACAAAATTCAGATAACCTAACTTGGAAAAGAAAAAACAGTGCAAATATTCTTTTCAAACAGTGTTCCAAATATCAATATTACTTTTAAATAATAACATCTGATGCTATAATCCCTACAGAGGGCAATTTGGTAATATACATCAAAATAACGTGTGCTAATTTCACTTGGAGAATTTATCACATAGACTTTGCACACTTCTGTGTGTACGTGTGAAATGACATACATACAAATGTATGAACTTAGCAGTGTTTAAAATAGCAAATGCTTAGGAAAATCCAAATGTTCTTCAATGGGGGTACTTGCTAAATAAAGTATAAGTACAAACAATGAAACATTTTTCAACTGTAAAACAACCAAAAAAAAGGAGGAAGCTCTCTACTAATATGATAAGATCTTCAAGATATGTTGAGAGCAAAGAAGACATAAGGCCGAACATCTTTTTTAGTAAGCCACCTTTTGACTAAAAAGGAGAAAATAAGAATATATGTTTGCATCTGCTTACACTCCCATTACAGGCAGCATGCTGCACTGGTCAGGTAGAGAACAAACGTGGAGAGGAGGCTCTTCACTGTATTCCCTTTCATAGTTTGTCTTAAAATCACATGAATGTGTTATCCATTAAACTCTAAAACCCCACACATCTGAATTAGGAAATGTTTTTTTAAGTACATTTTCTTTTCAGAGGTCAAACACATACTGAAATTAAAATATAACATATTCATTCATGTTACAAGCATTTAAAGTACCTACTACCAGATATTTCAGGGACAGGGTCAAAAAGAAGTTACCAGAACGAGTCCCCACTCTTGAGAACACGTGCTCCTGTGTAAATCCTGAAGCAAAGGTATGCTCACAGCCAGGCTATGTCTTAAGGATGTGATCCTGCTGCACGTGGGAATCGGCCAGCCCAACACTAGGAGATCAGATCTGCAACAGGCTGGTTCTGAGCATAAAACCTTTCCTGAGATGATTCTCAGACAGACAAAGTTCCAGGGGCCAGCCAGATGACATAAGTGAGTGAAGCGGGTCAAACAGAAGGTGGCTGAGATCTGACAGCATGCACCTGTGGGCCTGAGAAAGAAGATACCTACCAAGAAGGACTCCTGGTGGCTAACTGAGCTCAAATTTAACAGCAGAACCTAGTAGCCATTTCTGCACAGAGGCCTCTTATGCAAACCCCACTTCAGGGAGAAGCCTGCACTGAACTTTCGCCTCTGCACGGAACTGCCACCTGCATTGTGCTCCTGCCCTCTGAGCAGCCCTCACAAAGCAGTTCCTGGAATCCTATTTTCCCCACCCAATCAGAGCTGCATAGTTGTATCACCCATCAGCATCTTCACCAATCAATCAGAGCGGCTCCATTGTGACCAGTCAGGACAGTGCGTTTGGAACCAAATTGTGAGAATTTGGAGTCTTCATTTGCATGAGGATGAACCAATCAGAAACCAGGGGTGGGAACTTCTGTCTACTTAAACCAGGTCCCCTCTAGCTCAGGAAGCATCTTCCCTTTCCACTGAAGACTGCAGACTGCGTTTCCCACGCTGGAGCTGAAACACCAGAGATGAAATACCCAAGATGAAACACCAAAGACATCTCGCCAGACCACAGCGGAGCACAGCAGACCAGGCTGGCAGGGAGGGCAGAACAGACTGACCAAGGAGAGGTGGAGCAGACGAGCGGACCAGGGCTGCATCTCCCAAGGCCACCTCACAGCCGCGCTGTTTCACAGCTGTGCTGCCTCATAGCTGAGCTACAAACTTGATCTCCTGGCCCTGTTGTATCACAACTGAGCCATCTGAACTGAGTAATTTCCTTCTTCACTGTCCTCCAAATTGAGGAATCCCGTTGGCGCTGAATTGGTGCCAACGACCACCGGTGGATATACCCTATTAAAGAGAGTTGCTGCCATTCAGTTTTAATTGGTTGCCTAAACATTTAAATGGAAATAATAAAAGTCAGGGGGTTTAGGTGAAATTTTTCTGACGTACAGTACAAGCCAAGGGAATCTTCTAAGTCCAGAGTCTCCAGCCCAACCTCCATTTAGCTACCAGAGCACAGGTTTCTTTCTTTTTTTTTTAAACTTCACAAATTTTAAATATGTTTTAATTGATATTTTAAAGAGAGAGGAAGGGAGAGATAGAAACATCGATGTGAGAGAAAATCCATCAGCTCTCTCCTGCACACCCCCTACTAGGGACCAAGTCTACAACCTGAGCATGTGCCCTGACTGGGAATTGAACCAGTGACCTCTCAATGCATGGGAAGACGCTCAACCAACTGATCCACACGGGCCAGGGGTCCTTATAAATGTTTGAATTGAAAAAAAACAACAAAAACGTATGCCTTTCAAAATACACTGTTAAGAAAATGAAAAGGCAAATCAAAAACTTGGAGGAAATATTTGTTAAACATATATTCAACAAGGGACTTGTACCTAGAACAACAAATAAGTGAGAATAACTTATTTCTAGACTTTAGAATATGTGACATTATTTGAAGGGGGGGAAAAGCCTGCTGAAATTTTGATTGAGATTGGAATTATACATCATTTTGAGGAAACACGACATATTAACCATTTTGAGTTTTCTGACCCATGAACACAGTGTATCTCTCCATTTATTTAGGTCTTTTTAATTTTCTCTCAGTGATGTTTTAGAGGTTTCAGCGCAAAAGTCTAACACACTTATCAAATGTATCCTCAGTATTTCATATTTTCGATGCTATAATTTTTTTCAGTTTTCAACTGTGTGTTACTAGTAACACAACTGATTTTCATATATTGACTGTGTATCCTACAACCTTGCTAAGCCCAGCTACTAGTTCTAGTAGTGTTACAGATTCCAAAGGATTTTTCTACATAATCACGTCACCAGTGAGTAATGACAATTTTCCTTCTTCCTTTCTAATATGGACACCCTTTATTTTCTTCTTGCCTGAATGAGTTGGCTAGGACCCCACGGCAACGTGAACAGAAGTGACTGCTAGCAGACACCCTGCCTGGCTCCTGACATTAGGAGGAAAGCACTCGGTCTTTCTCCATCAAGTACAATGCTGGGTGTCAGTTTTTATAAATATCCTCAATCAAGTAGAGAGAGTTCCTTTCTATTCCTACTTTGCTGAGCATTCCCAACAGGAATGGAGGCTGGATTTTGTCTCCCTCCATTGAAATAATCACATGGTTATCCTTTCTTAATCTATTAGTATAATGAATTACATTGATTTTTGAAGGGTGAACCAGCCTTGCATTCCTAGGATAAACCCCACATGGTCATGCTGTATTATTCTTTCGTAAGCATTGTTGTAGTTGATTTGCTAAAATTTGGTTAATAATTTTTATATTTCTATACATGGAAGTTATTGGTCAGTAGCTTCCTCCACTCCTAATTACTTTCTTTGGTTTTCATATCAGAGTAAGGGTAGCCTCAGAGAATGAGATAAGAAATATTCCCTCCTCTTTAATTTTCTAGAATAGTTTCTATAGAATTGGGGTTATTTCTTCCTTAAATATATGGTAGAATTGACAGTGAAGCCATCTGGGGCTGGAGTTTTCTTTATGAAATGTATTTCAACTACTGTTTATCTTACAATGCTACAGAATGACTCAGGTGGTCTGGCTCTTCTTTAGTGAGCTTTGGTGGTCTGGGTCTCTCCATAAATTTGTCCACCTACCTAGGACAAAATATTTATGGCATAGAGTTGTTCAAAATATTCTCTTATTATTTTAATATCTGTAGAGAATTTGTAGTGATGTAACAACGTTCATTCCTGATACTGACAATATGTGTCTCTCTCTCTTTCTTATTTTGAAACTCTGTTATTAGGTGCCTAAATATTTGGAATCATTAAGTCCTCTTGACTAATTGATGCTTTATCATTACAAAATGACAGTTTCTGTCCCTAGTGATGTTCTTTACTCTGAAATCTACTTTATCTGATATTAACACAGTCATTCCAACTTTCTTTAGATAAGTATTAGCATGGTATAACTCTTCTATCCTTTTACCTTTAACTGACTTTTATCTTTTTTTTTTTTTCATCCTCACCCGAGGACCTTCTTCCATTTTTTGTTCAGATAGAGTGGGAGGGAGAGAGAGGAAGAGAGAGAGAGAGAGAGAGAAACGTCAACGTGAAAGGGACACATCGAGTGGCCGCCACCCGTACGACCAACCAGGGCCGGGGGCAACCTGCAACCGAGGTACATGCCCTTAGCGGGAACCGAACCCGGGTCTCCCCAGACCGCATGCCAACGCTCTAACTGCTGAGCCAAACCGGCCAGGGCTAACTGACTTTTATCTTGATACTTACAG